GTTTTGACGTGTTCGAAGATGTGACCTAAATGCATATTAAAGCTGAGCTTAACTCACATAAGAACATCAGAGCATCCATGTGGAATTTCAAATTCCTATCTTGTTTGGCTCCTGAAATCGCTCTTCTGCCAAAAAATTAATATGTTTTCTTTTAGACATCCGTACTTGGGGTCCATCTCACGTGAACGATAATGTTAAAACAGGAGGGTCGGACACTTGCTTAGTTTCTGTGTTTCTCGAGTTGAAAATGACTGTGAATAGACACACAAATACACACGTACGTATTCTTCTGCCAGCATGCCTTTTTGCGTTTGCATAAATATGCAAAAACGCTTAGAAATTGAAGCAAAACCTAGGTAGCGACTCTCCATGTTTGCCGGAGTGATCATGCGCTTTTGCTCTAAATTTTCAGCAATCAGGTCTTTAACAATTAAACAGTTATTGCTTCACATTTAACTTGTGCACTTATTACCACAAATTTTGCGCAAAGGAACATAAATAATTTCCAATGACCGGCTGCTCATTGAAAATGATTTAACAACCCTGATTCTCAAGTTACCAATTTCCTGCCAAAACCTTTATGTATCCATATGTGACTCAGGCAAGCGTGAAATTTGGTGCCACGCTCCCACGCCAGGAAATTCACAAGCAAAATTTCTGCATCAAAACTTGCTTGGTTGACGATTTGAAATAACCGAGAAGGACGGATACACAAACATACACACGCACACAACAATACATATACACATCACGGGTCGTTGCAAATATGCATTTTCGCATTTGCTTAAATGCGCAAAAACGCGAAAAGATTAAAGGCACAAAACTGAACTATGGCATGTGGAATGGAAGAAGGAAATTCAAGATGGACGAGGTATCTGCTGATTTTTAGTAGCAGCACGGCTTTTTCGTGTTTGTTTTGTTTAAACTGCATTACTACTAGCCGCAGTGGCTTTAATATTTATTGGTGAAGTGGGCTTGAAATTTCTTGGTTGCGTTTAGCCATGTATGTCGCTTTAAGTCCTAAGCTTCCTTAAAGAAGGCCTGGGACGATGCGAAATTTAATACGTCTGTAGAAAAAAAAGTACAACTAACAGTTTACTCTGTTACCTTGTTCAGCTGTTTCATTGTAGTGTTTATTCTCCCATTAATGCGCTCGGTAATTCCTCAAGTTTAGTTCATTCTTATTCACGTAACTTCACAAAGGCTTTAGTGAATTTTTTTATCCCATTGGCCATTTTTGTGCGGTTCTGCATGTATGCAAATGCAACAAAGGCTGGAACGCACCAGGCGAGCCGGTGCGATCATGCGTTT